AATCTTGTAATATTTATTATAAAATTAGTTTGAGGAAAACTATTTAAAATATTTCCTTTGAAAAAAAAATATTATAATATAGAAAATTAATTTTTAAAAAACTAATTTTATGATAATTATAAATATTTTATTAAATAATTTAATTTTTTACCTTGAGTTTTATCAGTAAATACAAGATATCCAAATAATGCCATTAGCATACATGCAAGCATGGATATTCCAGTTGATAAATGCGTCACTGCTTCAAATCGTTTTAATGTTGGCTTGCGTAAAGAATCAAAAATAAGCAAACTGTTGTGATGACAAACAAACGCTAATAATAATAAACAATGATAGTGATATTTTTGCAAAAAAAGATAAGTGATATTATTTAACTTTTTTTTAAAAAAGCTATAAATAACAAAAAAATCGAATTCGACCTCAAGATTATCTATCTATCTATCTATCTCCGATTTTAAAATTTTTTAAATATATTATATCAAATCTTTGATGCGTCGTCACTAATTAATATTCGATGTTTTCTTTGTAACAGTAATAATACAAAATCGTTTTTTGATAATCTTCGAATTCAACTTTTTTTTAAAAAAAATGTAATTTTTTTAATATTTACCGAAACTAATTACTCCAATCGACTAATATTTAATTAGGTGGAAATTTAAAGATTTATTAGAAAGACATATTACACAAAAAAATGCCATCAACTTAATTAATTAATTATTCTACTAACCTGAAATACTTCTGGTTGAATAAACTTCCATCTTGTGTCTGGATTACCTTTCAAACTATCATCAACCTGAGGCCCTTCTATCACTACACTTGCTACAATAATAACCATTGAGATCAAAGCTAATCCGCTTGCTTTGGCTAATTTTGATATGTCACGATATAATGATAATGGATATGATATAAATGCGGTACAAAAAATTATTATGAAATATCTATCTGTAAACAAACGTAATATTGGTATATCGATAATTTGTGGAAATATTGATGCGATGACGTGAGGAATTGTGTCGCCTATTTATTTCAAAAGAATGATAAATTAATATTCAGCTTTAATTTTCTCTAACTGATCCATCTAAAAAATATCCTTTCTTACCAATAATAACACAGAATGCACACATTCCACCAAATGCAAATGCTAATTGGAATAAAGATATTGAAATATGGCCACCTTTTCCAAAACAAAAATACACTACATCTTGATATGAATTTCTTCCTGATAATTTAGAATTATAAACTAATAGTCTTATCGTCCAGTCAACTACAATTGTAAGCACTACCAATAATATTATTCCTGTAAAAACTCCCGCCTCCCGAAATGCAAATGGCAATCCTATATATAATTATATTTATCATTATTATTATATTTTTTATTAATAATAAATTTTATAATCAAGATTTTAGGAAAGATGAAAATGAAATACTAACCAATTATACCTATTGAGAAAGAAGGATGAGAAAGGATGGGAGAATGAAGGAGGTGAGAAGGTTTGATCTACTTATAATTATTACCATTAAATACAAATATCAAACAATCACAATCTAATGTTTAATTAAAATTTACCAGCTCCTATAATACTGTTTGCCATATTTAGAAAACTTTCAAAAAAAGAACCACCATCATTAGGCATTTTTAATAAACCAACACCATCATGCTCTAGTGATACAATATGTAACGTATCTTTTGGTAACGCGGCCATTTTAGCTCTTCCTTTATCAACACATTCCATTATCAATTGATCCCAAGCTTCCCCAGTTTTGAATTCTAGATTTTCTTCACTTTTTACCAATTTGATAGCATCGTTTAACCTCTCTTCTTCGCTAAGTTGAATGACTTTTTCTTTAAGAGTTTCTAATTTTTCTTTTGACTTAGAAAGTGTATCTGTTATTGTGTTTCTACTATTATCATTATAGTTACTATCG